AAAATTTCGAAAAGCCCGTCAGCGAGACTAAGGCTTAATGTCTTCAAAGGCTCCCAAAAGTAGTTAACATCCTCTTGGAGCTTCAAACGTTAGCATTCCAACAATACCTTCACAACTGTCAAGAGGTATCATTGTTATCCATGAAAACCCACGACACTTGCCGTTTGACTTTCAGCCACCAGCCTTAGCTTGAGCCCCGCATGAGAACGATCGACAAGGAAGTCATAACCGGACATTGGTTCCGAATATATTGATGATACGCAGTTCGCCGACATTGGATCTACTGCGTACCCGTCCTTTGGTGGAAAATTTCTCACATGTTGTGTTCCAAAGATTCGAAAATCAGTCTATGGAAAAAAATTAGCCGAGAGGATTTTCTTCTTTTCCCCCCCGCCCCTTGCTCCAATCAACAAGCAAGTAAACTAACTACGCAGCGTAAGCTTCCTTGAGAGGAAGTGATGTTAACTCATGACATGGTAAATTAATCTCCTCTCGCCCTGAACAAGGTCGGGTCACCACGTATTTTAGCTCGCCCTCCAAGGCAAGCCGGGCAGGGAAGAGCGTAGAACACTCATGGATGGGACAAGTTTGGTAATCTTCAATCACTAAAACTTTGGGACTCCAGTCAAGATGATTGGAGTAGAACGAAGCCAATCCATTCAGTAAAAGTAAACAACATGGATTCTACAATCCACTACTGCTGCGTACTAATTGAAATGGCAGAGCCATCTGCCCGGGTCTTCCTTTGTAGATGTTCTGGTCACCGTTGGAAGGGGACATTCGCAGGGATGCAACAAGAACTTAAAGAGTATGGCATAACCCGCAACAGTTCACATCCAACTGCATACACAGCTCTTGTTATGGTCATTATTGATCCCGCCCGAGAGGTATTTGTTTCCGCTGTTCGATAAATGGCGATCAACTATGGCCAGGGCGATGCGAACGAGCCGAGCAGGGGATACCAGTTGTACATTACCTCACTGGTAATGATTCTCGCAGCCTCGTTATTTGTTGCGATGCGCTTATCAACTCGGATAGCAAATAAGCAGTTCGGATCTGATGATTATATGATTACAATCGCATTGGTTAGACACCTTTGTCTCCTCATGAGTCGAAAAACGATGGATCCTGAAAGCGAAGACGTCTGTTAACCGATGTTTAGGCTTCTTCAGTTGTTATGGCAGCCGCCGTTAACTTGGGTGTGTTTTCCATTAACAACCTGATTCGCTTCTATGGGAAGGCCCAAGGACATACATGCTGACATGAAATCCGTAGCGGTGGTTAATGGGTACGGAAAACGTTCATCCGATCTTGCACCAAAAGAGAAGAACGCAGCGCTCAAAGTTCGTTCGCAACCTATTTCCGATCTTTTACTTTATCAATGGCAATCGCAATCCCTTTTGCTGACAGATTCACAGTGGTTCTTTATAGCCCAAATTTTTTACAAACCAGCTCTCGGTTTCACGAAGATTTCGATTTTGTGTCTCTACCATCGAGTATTCGTATCTCCCCCTTACCCACGCATATTCCAGGTCGCGATCATGTTGATTAGCTTATGGGCGATCAGCACTACCTTCGCGACGATATTCCAGTGTGTTCCGCTAGAAGCGTCATGGAACAAGAAAGTCAACGGCAAATGTATCCATAAAAACGCCTTCTGGTACGGATATGCAGTGACAAATACGACCACAGATTTCATTGTTTTCCTGCTGCCAATCCCAGCACTGGTAAAGCTGCATCTGCACTGGAAGGAGAAGATTGGAGTTGTGGGTGTCTTTGCTCTTGGATTCTTGTCAGTGCCACAGCCCCAATAACGTCTGATTTGAGAGACAAACGATAGTTGACTTGACGTCTTAGTGTGTGTATCACCAGCATCATCCGAACGACTGCTGTTGCGCAAACAACTTCGGGGGAAAAGGATATCACTTGTAAGCATATCCACATTGGACTCGTTCACTGAACGAACCTTTCATTGGGCTGACAGTTTGGCACATCAGGGGACTTTATCCCAAGATCAACGTGGACCTCGATAGAAGCAAACACCGGCATAATTTGCGCATGCCTTCCCATACTGAAGGGGCCTCTCGTCAGGTTATTCCCACGGCTCTTTAACGTCACGACAGCCAAATCGAAAGGATCCTATCCGCTCAGTCAAGAATCATATAACCTCCACCAGCGGTCCAACAAGATGAAAAATAAAAATCTGGGAAGAGAATACATGACAACTACCTCCAGGCCCGAAAGCATTGTAGCAGATCCATGCACGGCAAGTGAGGAACACATCCTAGACGAAGAGAGAATCCATAGGTGGCCTTTGGAGGATCGAATTGAGAGGAAAACCGACGTCACCATTAGCTATAGTAAAAGGGGACCATCCCAAGATTTTAGATAGACACAACCTTGCATGACCACAGGTTTGCAAATACAACTGGTGGCCATATCCCTTTTATACTAGAATTCAAGTAGCATCTTTCGACATCTCAATGGGCAGTCATGCTGCCAGTCACGTGAAAATGTCACGTGGATTGAAATGGATTACATGATAGCTAATAACCAATAACTAGTTAACTAGGAAACTATTCTCAAGTCAAATAGTTAACTACGTAACTACAAAGGACGAAGGAGAAATAAGGAAGAATTCATGAAGGTGGAATTCGCGAGAGTGAAATTCGGATGTGCAGATTGAGGAGGAAGAAGAATAGCCTTGATTGTAGAGCTGGTAAATGAACGTTTGATCTATGTTTGATCCCATTAGAGATTAATTAACTAACTAGTTAACCAGTGATTGGGATACTTGATTATGAAAGAAATTATTAATCGAGGGTTTCACTCACTCTCTAATTGACTGACTGACTAGCTGTAGAATTTCTTGCATCTTCATCTCACAATTGATCTCATAATTGCAAGTTGAGGTGATCGTTGGTGGTTACTGGTGCATACAGATCCGGAGTTAACCTGGGTATTAATAGAGGAAACATATCACAAATGATTTGGTTGCTCGCTCGCTTAGAATTAACTTAACTTCAGCTATTTATGGTTAGAGAACTACAACATAACTGTTTCCCACCTCGCAGAGGACTCCTCCTTTCTTCTTCAGAATCGATTGCGGGTTCACGAGCCATCCATTAGCATCCGTTTACACCAAAATATCCTGCTGCGGCACAAGCGTATTTAGTCTCGTTCCCAAGCATCCCGGCAGCTCTGTCGTCGCAACTCCGAGGGCTCGATAACCACCGCGAATGCAGTCTGCTTCCACGCCCTTTGCGCGCAAAACGCTGGTTGCAACACGCGATGTGTCTCCATTATAACACAGCACAAGAACACGCCGTTCGTTGAGGTTCGATGAATCCTTTACCCGCTCGAAGACGCTTTCAAGCTCCAACCATTGGGCTTCCAGCACTTTCGACTCAGCGAATGGACTGGGCGTCTTGGCGGACAGACTCTTCAGCGGAACGTTCATGGCGCCCGGGAGATGCCCGCTCTCATAGTCGACTGTCTTCCGCAAATCAATTACATAGGTCTGTGCTTTCGCATTGATTTTGGCCCAGGAATAAGCCTTCACTGCTTCAAAGGGCTCATAGAAGCGGGGAAGAACGTCCATGGGGTGTAGTTCCCACGCCTCGTCATAACGATAGAGGTCGACTTTGGTCAAATTCTGGCGAACCATAAGTTTTAGGTCCTCTCCGGGACGGCTTCAAGGATGACAAAATGGAGTAGAGGGTTGGCATTTTCCACTTACCTCATTATGGATTGCAGGGAATTTCTCCGGTCCTAATTTCTGGAAATACTCGTCGATGTACTGGTATGGCAGATCGCAACACAAGAAAACGCAATGGGTTAAGCCATCAGAACCTGCGAGCTCTGACAAGGTTCCCTCTGACTTGCGCTTTCTTAACATTCGCAAAAGCCCACTTAGGTTGAATCCAGACGAGGGCCCACAGACCAGACCCTCCCGACACATATCGAGGGATAGTGAAAAGGATTCGAGGGATCCAACTTCCTCTATTGCGTCGACAGCCTCTCTCCACGGGAACTCAACCGGGAGAAGGAGAGAATAAGATCTTGGACCTGGAACTCGGTCACCTGGAGCGGTGCAAACCCCAAGCCGAAAGACTGAAGGCTTCGCTTGCTTGAAATAAGTTCCCAGTCCCGTCATTGTCCCTGAAGTCCCCATGCCTGCACAGATCACGTTTATTTGAGGAAGTTGCTTCAGGATCTGCGGCCCTGTCCAGCGGATATGTGCCTTCCAATTGTTTTGATTTTCGTATTGATTCGGGTTGATGATATCGTCGGAAGTCATCGCCATTTTTTTTGCGTTCTGGATCCCGCCGCGCTCGTCTAGTGGCTCGGGTTGGGACGGTCCTCCAAAAAGTGTGATGTCGAGCCCAAAGAATTGCATCAATTTCAATTTCGTGTTACTCGTTTTATTGCTGAGATATGCCCTGACATCACTGATATTGTGGAATATTCTCGCGATCAATGACATCGAAATAACGGTCGATCCAGAGCTGTACTCGATGATTGTACTTGTTTTGCCTGGTACAACATTGCACTCAAGCATATTCAGCGCTAGATGAGAAAAGGGGGTCTAGTTAGCCTCACGTATGTCACCTCGGAAATGCACTGCTCGAGAAGACAGTACCTGGAATTGCCTTCACATTGTTTGCGGGGTGCATTGCCATGATCTTTGCATATATCCGCACCCCGTCTTTATAAAGAGGATTCAGACGCTCTGGAATTTCCACCAGCGGTAATGGAGGCTGACAATCAGGGTTGAAATATTTTCTCAGGGCATCAGGGCCATAATACACATTGAAAACGTTAAGGTCCGCCATGTTTCACAAGGTTGGAGGTGAAGGCTTCTGGCACGCATAGAATTGGACACGAAAGTGGATTATTAGTCTCCCACAAAAGTACATACACGTTGCAGCTGCACGGGGGCAGCCTGTCGATTTATACATATTTGGCCAGCTCACTGAGATCAGTCTACCACTACAAATTTACACCGGGTGTGGATATCCACTATCAGGATTTGGAGATCTTACCGTTCCTTCTTGGACGGATGGTCCATCCATTGGTGGGTTGAAGCCCTGAAGTAAGGATTGTCGCTGTTGAATAACCCCTAGAGCAACGTTTGAATAACATGTTGATCAGGTTTCTTTGGTATGATTAGGTCAGGTCTCTTTGCTCGAAAACTTTACGATTCGTCTAGATCAAACTAGACGTCTGTTTTGATTTTCTTCCTTCCACTATTTCCCCTTTCTTTCCCGTCTCCTTATCGTTTTACCTCCCCATCCAGGACAACTTTGAGATATAGCTCCTAAGGTTCCCAGTCTCAACTTCCTTTGTAGAATTTCAAACCCCTGACGAGCATCTTATCCTCTCTTTTCTTATGATGAAATGTTACAAACGAAATGCTACGTGGCAGGGCAACGTTTGAGGACCTGGAGGTAACTGACAAGTACCTTGTGGTCAACAGAATATTGAGATGTGCCGAATTCTTTTCCGAGGACCTTGAGATGCCCAGCCATCATGGATTGGTATCCCGTTGTTTGTTCCTGATGTCTTATCCAAAGTACAAAATCGAAGAGAGGAACTTCACGGAACTCATCATCGTTGGACTGTGGAGCATGTTTTCGTGAGAAATGACCTGTATATAAGGCAGGTCGAAGTCTGGAACCCTCTCAAACACCCTCAATTATCGACTTGCTACCGTTTACATCACCTCGCTCCCCCCTCCTCCCGGCGCCCCCCTTCTCCCCCTTCGCCGCCGCGATCTTTATTCATTGCGCTCATTCACAGATTTATATATGGAAATAAAAAAGATTTTTTCATTCTCTTAACTTGCAGGCCAAAATAGTTTCCTTCATAGATTAGAAGTTGCTGAGGAACTTTGAAATTCTACTGTTCGTCGCCAGCTCCAGCTGCCTTCCGAGCCGAAAAAATGAACGGAAGTTCCACTGTTTCCGAGTCCACTCAATGTTCAAAGACAGATACGCCGTCGGATGATGATAGCAATGGAGCAGGGGCCGAAAAAGGGAGTCCCCATCTCTTCAATGAGCAGACAAACTTCGTTCCAAGGCGCACCATCATTACTGTTAGTATATAACATGCACATAAGAGACGAAGTCATCTATGCTAACCAACATTAGATATTCCTGGCATGTGCCAGTCTTGATCTACTGGCTTTAATAGACCAGACTACTCTAGCTGCTAGCCTTTCAATTATATCAAATGATCTGGCTGCGGGGGACGAAACGTTATGGATAGCTGGAGGTTATTTCGTGTAAGTCAATCGTATACCATTGATGGTTACTTGGATTGTGGGCTGTATATCAACATAGTTGCAAAATTGCTAACATACAAAGGACGTCGACGTGTTTCCAACTGCTTTACGGGCGCTTTTCTGACATCTGGTCACGGAAAGTAATCCTCTACATTGGTCTCGTCATCTTCTTCATAGGATCTCTAGCATCCTCTCTCTCACGAACAGCCATAGAGTTGATCGTCTTCCGCGCGTTGAGCGGCATTGGCGGTGGTGGTTTGATAACTCTAGGGCAACTAATAGTCAGTGACGTCGTTCCGCTCCGTGAACGGGGAAAGTATCAAGGTATTTTAGGCTCTGTAGTAGCCCTCGCCAACGGCATCGGACCGGTGATTGGCGGTTCCTTAGCCTCGATATCAAAGGGCTCATGGCGGTGGATATTTCGTCTCAACCTCCCGCTCACAGTACTCGCCATCCTCAGCGTCAAATTCTTCATGCCGTTAAGAAAAGTAGAAGGAAACTGGCGGGCGAAACTTCGGACGATAGATTTCACTGGCGCTTTTCTTGCGCTTGGCGGGACAGTGGTGCTCATGCTTGGCCTGGCATGGGGTGGTGAATATCCATGGAACTCAATACAGGTCGTTATTTCATTGGTCGTTGGGGTTTGTGTCTCGTTAGCGTTTGTCGTTTGGCAATGGAAGGGGGCATCTACTCCTCTAATACCGATGCATATTTTTAAGTCGCGTCTAGTCAATGGAGCATGTCTGACTATGTTCATCAATGGGTGGAATTCTGTCGTTCAGCTCTACTACATTCCTACATTCTATCAGCTGGCATACGGCTACTCGGCGACTAAGGCGGCTTCGTTGCTGCTACCGGTCGTATTAGTTCAGAGTACGTTTTGCAATTCTCACCCCTTCTCGAGCCAACCTAGATTCTAAGTTTTTCCCATTGGCTTTTCTAGACACCGATTTCTACCAGTTATTTATTTATTTTTTCCCCACTGTTACTAATTTACACCAGCTGTTGGCAGTTCACTTTCCGGCCTTTTCGTGTCCTGGGTAGGTCGCTACCGAGAATGTATCCTTTTAGGATGGGTTATTTGGGCCATTGGCCTTGGCCTATACTCGACGCTTGATAGCTCTTCGGGACTTGGAAAACAGATTGGTTATGGGCTGTTGACTGGTGCTGGTGTGGGGAACACTCTGCAGCCGTGAGTAACGATTGACGCTACCAAAGCCTTTTGAATCAGCGTGCATGAAAGTGTAACTTACAATCCTCCAGGGCTCTCATTGCCATCCAAGCAGGCGTTGAGCGGCGTGAAATGGCTGTCGTAACGTCATTTAGGAAGTGAGTCTGTAGACACGAACACTTTAGACTACTCTCAAGAATATAATTAGCTACTAACGTTATGAATTCCTCACACAGTTTCTTGAGAAATCTCGGCGGAACACTTGGGATTACAACCGCAGGGGTCATCCTACATAATGTGTTGGTCTCATCCTTTTCCTCCCTCAACCTCACCGACTCAGAGGCCAGGAGACTTCTCAGGTCTCCTGACACGTACCTTTCTACGCTCTCGGAATCTGAGGCTTCACGCGTCCGGTCTATTCTTATTCCGTCGTATCAGAAAGGGTTCCGGATTATATTCCTTATCGGCGCCGGGACTGCGGCACTGGCGTTTTTCCTTGCCATATTTCTAATACCACAAGTAGCTCTAAAGCGGCCAGATGATGATATGTTGAAAGAGGAAGGTAAAAAGAGAGCTCAGGAATCTAAAAATCGATCCGCGCAAGAAAATGTGTGAGATAGAGTGATGGAACGTTCTCTGTTGGTATACATAAGGCGGAACCGGATACGTTGGCAGACTGCAGTTTAAAAAAATATTTCTAGGAGAAAATTGAAAAGCTCACTGTCAGCTCAAATTTACACCTTAGTTTTGGAGCCATCTCACTGCTCATTTTGAACACAGATGAATGCCTTTATTGGTTGCTGAACCATCTTAATTATAGAGCACGCCAAAACTATGTTATCCGCTCCATCGCGAAAAGCCGAACATCGACTCTCTTTGCATGTATGTAATTGGTAATGTACCTCAAAATCTCTACAAAATAAACTGCATTTATCCAACCCGGGCTGGGAGCCCTCTCTCACCACTGCACGATTGCAAATCGGTAACTATGGCCAGCGGAAAGTCATTTTTTTATTATACTGATAATCATGCCATAGATCAAAGCTCCGGGCCAAAGTCCGAACATCCGCGATGGAGTGGTTGAGGACATCAAGACCACAGGCAACGAGAAGCTGCAGTCAAAGCCCAACCAACTGGCTGGGAAGTGGGTATGTCCGCATGTATCTTTTACGTGCCGTTGTCTTTCTGACGTCGAGAAAGAATGGTAAGAAATTCATATGCCTAACCCCCGTAACCTGTTGCAGGATATTATTTTAAACCAAACGCGGTTGCAAATATTAATATCCTTAAACAATAGGCGCTTGACAGTAACTAGCTTGATGGGAGTATCAATGCTCTCCCGAACTGCGTCAAATATTATGGCCTCCCGCCGACTGGCAAGGCCGGCACAGGGATTGTCTTCGCTATTTTCAATATACACGAGAGGGACCTCCTCCCACTTCAGCAGAAACACCTACACTGGCTTCCCTTTCTCAAATAAAATAAAAATGTATTAGGCTGCGCAAATGGTTGGCGCACTCTTTATTTGGATAGCAGACTGGCAGGGTCGCCGGCTGCCTGGCTATCTCCGCTGCTTCGGCGTTTGTATTGCAACGGTCGTGACAGCTTTGGCATCCACGCGGAGCATGTCCATTGGCGAACGGCTTTTACTGTCTTTCGGGTGCAATCATAAATAACTGCCTTGCATGGTGGCGACGCTGTACGTTATCGAGAATTGCACCACCCTGCGCAGTTATAGTGCAACAGTCGCTGGAATGTACAACTCATCTTACTACTTGGTTGGTGACAGTCTACTCTGTGTACAAGTGATGCTCAATATATCTCTTTTCTTGGCTTGGACAGATTTTCCGGTAACAAGTAACTAACTATGACATTGACGAAACCCCAAGGCCAAATCCGCTCCAAATTTGAGCCCGGGTCTGCTAATAACGTTACCAAATCCTCATTTTCTCCCAGTGTGGACTCTCACTACGTACCCTGTCTCCTGGAGAACGTTGGAGTGACTAATACCAACACCAAAACTTCTCCGCAATATCGTTATGCCATTTGCAGACTGGATCCCAGCAATGATTGGGCACGCTGCCATGTGCAAGATGCTACTTGGCTGTGGAGCGGGTATGACAGATTGCCTTGCAATTGCCGCTGGCACAGCAGCGGACACTCACACGAGCAGTAAATCATCTTCACCCTTTTCGATCGCATCTATCTATATATTCGGGTCTGCATTCGCGTTTGTATTTACCTCCCTACAGCTTATATACCCCGGTGAGGCCATGTCGAACGATACGAGAGGTAAGAGAAAGCGGGTTTCCCAGCTAACAGCTGGTACGGCTGGAATCGTGAACGCGTTTTGTGACGCCCGTTGGACAATGTAAGTCTACTGCCCTTCATCGCCTTCACTATCGTTCACCCTTGCAATACTTCCTGATCTCTCCTGCTAGAGATTGTCGTTGTTACCCAGCACGCCAAAATCTAACGTGAAAACGCAGTAAGATCAAATACTGGTTCTACGTCTTCTTCGCCTTCTGAGATGTGTTCGAGTTCGCATTTATATGCTTCTTCTATGTGGAAACCAAAGGGCGCATGCTGAGGAGCTTGACGAACTGTTTAAAATACCTAACCCGCGTAAAACTAGCACTGCTTCTATTGTCGTACGGCAACTTTTTGTTGAGGAGGATGTCGGCAGAATGAATTAATTATGTTCACAGGGAGAAAAAACAAAAAATCAAGGCCCATGTTTGACAGCTACCAAACAGCCATACCACAACATTTAGATGCTACCAAAGGTCTAGTATCGTTGGAGAATCGTCCAATCCGATGCATTACAGACCGGGACTCACAATCCAGTTTCAAATAAGGGGCAGAAAGCGTCCAGGAATGTAACATATTGGGGAAATTTCTGGTTCCTAAATACCCATCCAAGAATGCAGCGGAATCTCCCTGCCCTTATCGGTTCCCTTTCGTTTGATGTTTAACGACTGAGAAATTCTGTTGCAACTCAGCGCAGAACAGATTTCATTACGCCGCGATGACTCGATGCAATGCCTTATTTAGTGTTCGCAGGAACAGGTGGAAGGCGGAGTCATTCCCCCCGGTCAAAGTATTGAGTAACTATCAGCTAACTACTCAGAAGCTGAATTTGGTGGCGTTGATCTGATTGAATCCGTAGCTATGTCTCCCCCCCAGTCGAGCGTCCTTAGCAGTAGGTCGCGGTATAGATATGCATGAAAGAACAGTTGCTTCAGCATCCTACCGTCGGCCTTTGTCTGGTTCTTTAAACGAAAATTGTCACTTCCGGTGTGCAAAAAGGCATGTATCGAATCCAATACGACCAACTACAGCAAAAGTGGCATTGCTTGAAAACTCTCAAGCCTGCAAAAGCAATTGGGAAATGGTTAACAATATCAGACATAACTACATAGTTATTGCGAAGAATTCATTTTGCTCATTCAGTTGCCCTGTCTCTTTTGCTCAGCTCAGCATTTCTCCTAATGCATTTATCTTCAAATCAACAAAGTGATTTTCTGTTCCCCTTCCCTTCACCCAGATAACTGTTGAAGTGTCTCCGAATATCTAAAATATGCCCAGCGAACATATTCCAGAAAAGTCTTGTTTCCCTCACTCCCCTATTCTCCAAAACTCCCAAAAAGCCAACAGCCCCTTAAACGCCGGAAGAAAAATGTTACTTGGGTCTTATCAATCATAATACGTTACGCTCACCACCCTATACTTCTTTTCCTTTTTTCCAACGATGACTTTTCCATCATCATCAACACTGATAAATCCGTTAGGATTGGCTCCTTCATTGCCATTCGACGACATAAACCTCATCACATATCCCCTCTTCTCTCGAGCTCCTTTACCTTGCGAAAACTGAATATCCACTGGCACCGCCTTCCACCGCTCATGGACCTGCCTCCCCCCTGCACCCAACCAGACACGCCTATCAAAGCTAGAAACCAAGAATGGGCTCTTTTGGTTCGTCGCAATCGTGCCAATGTCAGTTTTATTATTGTTATAGTAGTGAATTATCCACCGAGCATTCCGAGAGCGGTATTTATTTCTCTGATCATTTCCACGACTAGAGGATTGCTGTGATGACATCGTCGATATCATGGCTGAGCCATCAGTGCCGTTTTGTACAGCAAGGCTGTGGGTAAGAAGATAGCCGTTCTCGCTCTCAAAAACAAGATAACGGCCCTCTGTCAGTTGCCCCGTACATATCTTATAACCCTCCTCGACAATATTTGGGAGTGAGGGAGGCTGGGAGGAATAAGGGACTGGCGGCCGTGGTTTCGGGAACTGCGATTCGCAAAACGCCGAACCATCCCATTCGCCGCGGGAGTTACGGTGGGGAGTGGCGGTTTTTGGGATATTAGGCATAGAGAGGTCGGGCTGATTTGATGTATCTCACATAATTAGTTACGCAAGTATCTCCACATATATGCCGGGAGTTGAACTTTTGGTAGGGGAAAAAGGAGGGTTTCAGAGACGCACATTCTCGAAATCCAGCGAGTTTACTAGATTAGCCATGTTTTTTCTCCTCCAGTGGACCATCTCGTCCGTGCGGATGTTATCATAGCCCTTTGCGCTGAGCCATTCTTCGATGAAAAGGATTTGAGAATTGTGGTCTGCGTGTTCTGTAAAAACGCGCCCGCCACGGGTCCATGGGGAAATGATGTAGAAGGGGACTCGAACTCCTGAATTTTTCATATGGTTAGCTAGCTGGCAATTGATGGTTTTAAGTGCAAGAGGCAGCACCAACCAGGTCCGGTGTATACGTTTCCAAAAAGACCGTACGGATCTTGTAACCATTCGCCGGGAGTGTTCTCTGGGGAGTGGTAAGGGGGAACATGGTCACCCCAGCCCCCAGATTCTGCGTACATGTTAGTTCTATGTTCCGATACAATCGAAAGATCGCAGGACCAAGGATATACCATCGTAACTAATCATGAGCAGGCTTGAGCCATATTTTGGCCCTTTAACCACTGCTTCCATGATCTTACGTTGCAGCCATCCTCCATCTAACGGAGAATATGGCGCATGTTCAGACAACTCCTGCGGACCGACAATAAAGCTAACTTGCGGGAGAGAGCCGAGGGCGGCAGCCTTGTAGAAAGCTTCCAGCCCCAAATATGCCATTCCCTTCCGAGATAATGGCGATCTTGGTGGTGCATTCTGGAACTGCTGAAACCAGGCCAAGGGGTTGTCATCGAAGTTATCCACTCCCTGGTAAACCTGCCAAGATACACCTGCCGCTTCGTACAATTCGAAGACCGTCTTCCATTTGAGAGGATAGCAGTTGAGGTTAGGCGCCTCGCATCCTAGTTGCTCATTCACTTCAGCTCCAAGTCTTCACCAGGTCACAGCCTGGCCCCCGTGGGATCTCACCTGGTATTACGTTATTATCTATATATACCCCTCCTTCATCAGGCGATTGCGGACTTCCAGGAGCATTGATACTTCCACTGACCAACGTGACTCGGTTTGGATTGGTGGCCGTGATTTGAGATTCCTATCTCACTTTTTTAGCGACGAAGCGGCATCACCCTGAAGTTAGGGGCTTAAATGTTGGTGGGACTGGTGAAAATACTTGATACATATCGCCAACAGTCCAGGCGTCTGCGATGGCAAACTGGACAGGCAAATCCTGTCGTTTATGGTAGCCCCAGCTCCACGGTGTATTATTTCGCACCCATCCATCATTTAATCCATGATTGATCGAGGCATGATTTTCCGTATAGCCATTGCTCCCAGCAGACATGCACTGGATCGCCTTGGACCAGTTCCCCCCCAGATATCCTAAATACCACGGCAGTAGCGTTTTGGCGTCCTTTGACATTCTCGGGTCAACGGGCCTTTTTATGAAGTAAGTATACTTCATGTACTTCATTGTGCTTCATTTCTGTGTAATCTAGCGGCAAGAAACTTACTGGTACCACAACGGCTTACCATTCGGGTTAATTTGCACGTTCGGGTCATTAAACCCTCTCGCACCGGCCATGGTCCCGAAGTACTTGCAAGTCAGCCAGTCAGTATTTGCAGATCAGGAGGCAAGAATCGTTGCACAGCGCATACAGTATCCCATGACCTGTTTTCCTGCATGAATATGATAACATGTTCTATCTCCTTCAAGCTGCGGACTGCTTCAGCGCGGACAAGCAATACAAGCAGAGGAATTGCCGTCAATATGCCAGCGGTCTACAGCGTAGAAAACTTATAGTTAGCAATAGCAATATCCTCCCGTATGAATACGAAGCCCAACTTACCACGATAAGAACGCCACCGATCTTCACCAGACGTGCGACCATTGTTCCAAACTCCTAGAATAGCCGTCGTCTTGGTGTGCTTTTCTAGTCTCCAAAGGTGCAGAATAATTTTTGCTAAGAGAGGAAACGTGTAGAGGCAGCCATTGCTCCTGTGAATGGCTCAAGTGAAACTTCACCTTCATTCCAAGGGGAGGCAATAAGGAGGACATATAACTGCCAACCTTTGGCTCCGAGTGTCTCCAGCTTATCAATCAGCATCTTCTCCATTTCAACATGCCCAGGTGGCCAACAGATACACGTGTGCACATCCTGGGCAATCCAAAGAAACCTCATCCTGAGACTGTTCCGGAAAGTTAAGAAGCTCCATCCCTGACGCCGGGAGTGTGAGGACCGGTGGTAGCTTTTTCTTGCTCGACACCTAGTTAGTTAGCTGTTTAGGGGGGCAGTGCCATTTTCCAAGACTCCAAGCAAAACTCAACCCATCAGCAAAAGATAAAAGGGCAGCTTGGGGCCGCAAACTCTGTGCAAGGCCAGCAAAAGCCAAGCGAACTTGGTACCGTTACAGATGCTGTCGGTGTTTTGTGTCAGACAGCATATCCTGTGTCAGCTCCTCTTGGCCCCCGGTGGTTCAATCATTAATTTAACTAGTTAATTGAACTGTCTCCGTCGGCCTTAGCCGAGATTCCTGAATGGAACGACCATCCAGCCGCAGGAGGATACGAGGCCCACGCAATCCCCAAGAGTGCCGAAGAGAGTCGCCAGGGTCAAGAGAGGGGACGCCGGGCCATGGGACCGTCCATTGGTCCAAGCGACATCTGGCAGTTGTCGTCATATCGGTGATCTCTCTAGCGGCATTGTTCCGGGTTCTTGAAGGTTCGAACATTCCAGGTTATTTACCCGGCCTCGCACTCAAGGACCACCACGTTCTGGACGTATCCTTGCACCCTGCCACTGAAGAGTTGCACCCTGAAGATCATATCTATCGTCGTGCAAAAACCATCCACCTTGACTGGACAGTGACTGCGGGAGACCGTCATCCCGATGGTGTTCGGAAATCTGTCTATCTTATCAACGGTAATGTCCTGACATCCAATATCTGTGCTTGGAATTGAACCGTGGTAGAGAGGACTTCTGATCCCTGGCATCTGACATCGGACCGTGATTCTCTGTAGGCCTTTTCCCTGGCCCAACCATCGAAGCACGTTCAGGAGATCGCTTGATCATCAATGTAAAAAACGGTCTTGCGGATGAGGGCGTGTCCGTGCATTGGCATGGTCTGCACATGAAAGGTTTTCTCACTCACTCCACGCCGAATGGTGCAGAAAGCGTGCCCTGTTGCTAACACCGTGGAGATGGAAATCGAATGGATGGCACAACAGGAGTGACCCAATGTGCCATCGCCCCCGAAGAATCTTTTCCGTACGATTTCACCATATCTGACTCGCAGAGCGGAACCTACTGGTATGCTTATTTGCGTTTATCCTATGCTTGTTAAATTCTCACATACATTTTTCACGCTGCAAACATGGATACTGACCTTGTACCCAGGTATCACGCGCATTCTGGATTGCAGAGAGCCGATGGGCTATACGGTGGATTGGTGATCCATCGCCCGGCCCCCAGAGGTGTTCGAGGAATTCAACTTCGACATACGGAATCAGATATTCTGAGATACAATTACCAAAAAGAAATCCTCCTGCTAGTAGGGGATTGGTATCATAGACGTGCCCATGATGTCTTGGAATGGTACATGAGAGCCGGATCATATGGAAATGAGGTGCTCAAGTCTCCTTTCCTTTCATCTACACAATCAAAGCCTAACAGACGACATATAGCCTGTACCGGATTCTCTTGTTATCAACGGAGCTGGCCACTTCAATTGCGCCCAAGCAGTTCCAGCCCGTCCCGTTGATTGTCTTGGGGACGGCCATCCCGTACCATATTTAATAATCGATCCCACACAATCATATCGGGTTCGGCTGGTAAATACTGGGTATATGGTCCCTCGCAAACCTTAGACTGGTATGCTCTCGTTCTAATACGTCGTTTTAAGGTCTCTTGCCGGCATTTCCCTGGGGGTTGCTCAAGGGTATCTTGACGTCCTCCACCTTGATGGAGGTCTAGGTGTGCAGCAGTTGAGACAGTCAAAGACATCAAATCCAAAATCGATAGGCATCCTATATCCCGGACAGAGAGTAGATTTTATTCTACGACATCACCGAAATGCCCCAGCAGAATCATCCCTCACCGTGGAGCTAGATCCAGAGTATGGGCGACCCGGTACCAGAAAATATACCATTCCCCTATGTCTATCCGCTAACAAAGTTCAGATGCTTCAAGTATTCCAATCCAGCACTCTCCTCCCTCCAATCCTTCCCGATATACAGTACAATTTCCAATAGCATAAAGCAAACTTCCCTGCCACAGCCTCTGACCCTCCCCGCAAAAAATCACATCGATCTCACACAAGTATCTTCCACGCCAGCCCTACTCTCAGGCCTCCCCCCTGAAGCCGATCAAACTTACGTAGTATATACAAAAATCTCAAAAATGTCTAAGAACCAAAACGTTCCCCTTGGTTATTTTAATCAAACGTCGTGGCGTCCGCAATCCACTCTTCGATATCCGCTCATCGCACTGGACCCGCACGATTGGGACAAGAACCAGTTCGCAATTTCAACAGGGAGTAAACCTGTCTGGGTCGATCTTGTCATTAACAACCTTGACGAAGGCGCTCATCCGTTTCATCTTGTAGGTAAACTTCCATCTTCCCCCCTTTCCAACCCCAACTCTCTCATTGACCCTCATTGCCCCTTACTTCCATCCATATTCCATATCCATCAATTCCTCCAAACCAGTCCTCTACACAAACATATCCTTGATAATTGTTCCTAAAACTAACCAAAACAGCATGGCCACAACTTCTTCGTGCTCACACTTCATGCCGCAACCCAAGGCTGGGGTTCCTATAACCCCTTCGACCCTCATCCGCGGCATCAGCAATTCCGGCCTTCTTCGAAGGACCTGGCAAAAGCGGTGCTCCGCGATACAGTACAGATACCCCAACGTGGGCATGCCGTTCTCCGGTTCCGTGCTGATAATCCCGGCATCTGGTTGCTCCACTGTCACATTCTCTGGCACCTAGCAGCAGGGATGGCGATGGTGATTGATGTTATGAATGGATTTAACGTGGGGGAAAAGCCAGAAATTGCAGGCGGTGAAAATATAGCGATGTGCCAGTATTTTTAGGTGGGATTGGCTTCGGGGAACGGGAATGAAGTAAAACGATTTTCATGGGAAAATATATCGGAATGGATGATGGAGTGAGCAAAGCCTAACACCTTAACGGTCCGGGACAGTTGGAGTGTATGATTTTTGGTACCCCATTTTCGCAGCGCCATACAAGACATACTTTCTCATATTTTCTCAGGCTAAAAACACCGGAAACAGATGTAGATACAACAAGAGAAATGATCTTAGCTATCAAGGCGACGGAACAACCGCTTTATCCCCCCCAAATAGAATAGCTCACCCGCAAATTGAGATATTTCAAAGTTCTGCGCAAACAGGTAGATTTGTTAGTAGATTGAAAGTCCCGAATATGCAAACTGGGCCAGCACAGGTTTCCTTGACGCCGTGCAGCCCTCTTCTACCGCCACAGAGTTGGCAATTTGCATCGTCCCGGTAGTTATACGGCAATACGACTCGCGAAAGAGAATCATTCCGGGTGAAACTGGAGAGGAAAGCAAAGGCAGACTTTCCTGGTTCTTTTATTTCTTCCAACAGACGACCCTCACAAGATGCAAACAATCATGATCTCTCTCAGCTCTCAAGAAACCTTTCGTGACTTGAGCAAATTTAGTCTGTTCAGCCGTCACGCATTTGAAACTTTCCGCCCGACGTACGGCAGAGCCGCCGCTCCTTGGTGCAGCCACTCAGGCCATGCACAGGTTGGGAATGAAATGTTAGCCAAATAAGTTGTGGAGATCTTCTTCTTCGCAAAATATTCGGAACCTTGGACAACACCCGATTCTATGGGGCTTCATCACTAGTCTAAAATCAGATCAAATCCAAAAGGCCGTAGTTAGTTATTGGACAACCCATAAGCTCGACCCCTCTTTTTTCCCGCTCAACGCCACATGTATCATCGATATTCCAACTATTCAGTTCCTCAGCCAGCATGAGCGATTGGTGAATCGCCCTTTATCCCATTAGGTTTACAAGGTCCCCACGTACTCTGTTGCCCGTCCGATTTATTTAGTTGCGGGAGCAGCTGAAACGTTTTGCGGCTGCTACGATAACCACCGTGTAATGCAGTATGGTCCGTTCTGTAATCTGTGGAGAGCAATAGTTTGGTGTTTAGATGACGGTTAATCGCGATTAACGAACAGGTAGTTCGTCGATGACCCCCTTTCTTGTATTTTGCCCCGAGAATACGGACAAGCATTGTGATGTATGAGAGAATGTAGGCAGTCAAGAATGTCATTCGCATACTGCTGTCTTCCCCCTCCCTCTAAGTTGCATAAGAGGTTGAACCATGTTTATGTACTGGGAAACTGAATCACCCTATTCCTGATAAAAGGAAAAGAAAGAAGCGAATAAAAGGGAGAAGGTTTCACGTAAGGTAAGTGACAGTTTCATATAAATGACAGTTTCATAAGTGATGACAATTGAAGTGCCGGCGTGGTGAGAACTAGTGTTTCCGGAATAGCTTCATTGCTAAAGACTGATATCTGACATGATGTAATAGTGGACTTCCCGAGGTCGTGGTGACATCGGCAGAGGGAGGTTAGTGCCAGGGCAAGTCGACACGGCCCAATGACGGGGTGATCTAAGCGCCATTACAGCTGGTAGAATGGCTTTAGCATGCAATCTCTGGTCCCCTGAATATCACAAACATATATCACTCCCAAGAAGGTTTCCGACAGGGGGAAGAATTTATGAGCAAGAATGATTGACCCCGTTGGTCTGTACCCGTGATGTAACAGGAGAAATTTCCTGGCGTTTGGCTTAAGATCGATCACCACAAGTTGGCAAAACATCTGACGTAAACTTGTTTCTAGGTGTTGAGTGGAATTAATCGCGTTAAACGGAGCAGAAGGGATGTGCTATGACCAAACAACGGCGATGCTGTGATTTCTAAAACTAGGAAACTCTTCCACTTTTCAAGCTTGATTATTCCCACATGGTTGTATAAATATGCATGCGTCGTCTTATCGTTTGCTGTTAAATATGTGACTCTGCTTCTCTTTTCGGTATCTCAATCTCATCCTCCATAGGTATGAACGTTGAATACATGAATGAGCATTTCTCTCCGGTACTAGAAGAAGACGCAATTCTCAATGACCCCATCCGTCGTCTTTATGCGCGCCGACGTTTCTGGAAGTTTGTCTGAGAGGGTATAACTGAACTGATAACTACCCCATACTTTAACATAGTAAGTCTCATCTCTTTATGTCTGTGATCCGGGGTAGGATTCCGTAACCACTTCAGGTTCAAGGAAATTCCCCAACGAGATGCTCTTTCAACCAAAGAGTGAGCCCAGTCCAACCAGTATGAGGACTTTGAAAATGGCAAAGCCGGGTGGGAACGCGGGAAACCATGAGTCCCTCACTGCCCCTCGGCAAACGAACCTTGACGACAAATTTCTGGACCAAGCTGCCATCTACCTACGTCATGCCGGAGATTATCCTCCATTGACATCAGATGCAGAGAGAAAACTCGTCCGCAAAATCGATTGGATCGTAGTGCCAATGGTTAGTCAGTCCGGAGTCCGTGATAATCGACCGGGCATGGAAGAGCACGTCTCTCTTTTCTGGGTGCTCCAATCTCCCTCTGACTGACAGTCTATTGACTTGCGCCATTTCCCAGCTCTTCCTTACCGCAACTCTTGGTGCAGTTGACAAGGTTGCATTAGGGACAGCGGCGCTCTATGGATTAAGGGAAGACCTTAAAACTCTAAGGCCAGGAGTTTGCCTGGACGGGATCGATTCTTCCTATCGGTGTATGTCGGTAGAGCAGAGGGCGCATCCTAAACTGGATTTGGACAGTATCTGACTGTTGTCTAAGGGAATTGTTGGCATGTGGCCGTCGTCGTATCTCGTCCAGCGCTTCCCACCTGCGAAGTACCTCTGCGCATGCTCTATAGGTTGGTCTTTGATCGCATTATTAATACCAGTGTGCAAAACCTCTAGTGGCCTTCCGGCCCTGAGGTTTCGATGGGTGAGTCTGGCCATTATTTATCCCCTATGTCGCAGATTAACCTTCCTCACTCAACTCTTCGTCTGTATGTAGGGTTTTTTTTTTTTTTTCTTTTTGGCTGATTTCATCTGGTAGACGTCCTGGAAGCGATCATAGTCCCCGGCATCTCACTCATAGTTGCAGGGTTATATAAGAAAAAAGAGCAGCCTCCCCGAAATTCCCTGGTGTTTGCTGCCAGCTCCGTCATCAACGGATTCCTTTGATGGGATGTGGGCCATATTCCAGACTCCGCCCGTTTAGCAAAGTGGCAGTTCCTCTTCCTCATTGCAGGTAGGATTAGGACTTTCAATCGTGCGGCTTCTGCTGTTACTGCTGCTGCTGCCAGAAAAGGTGGCTTATTTCCATTTGCAGGCTCAGTCTCTTTGGCACGGTCGCTGTTTGCCTTTGTTGCCATTCCAGATTCTCCCATGACGGCCTTCTTCCTGAACGACGAGGAGAAATACCACGCAGTCCATCATTTGGCAGATAACAGAACAGGAATAGTTAACAAGCATTGGAAATGGGACCAGGCAATCGAAGCAATCAGCGACCCGAAAACATGGCTAATCTTCTTTTTCAACGGAGGTAATAAATAGCCATTAGCTTCCTCCAAAAAAAAAGACCACCCCTAAAATTCACAGAGATGTTCTGCAAACTGTGTCAAAAACACATGGTCAATACGAGGGATGGAGGATAGAGCGGAAAATTGGTCCTGCTAACCACGCAAGTTACCACAAATAATAGGCCTCATTACGTTTGGCAGCATCATTATTAAAAAAAATCTAGGCTTCTCAGCAGTCACCAGCTCACTTCTCAACATGCCGACAGGAGTGATGTCGACTCTGTCTGCCTTCGTATTCCCGACGCTGGCATCCAGATGGGTCAACCACCGGTGTTTGGTGACGAATCTTGCATGCTGCATACCGATTGCAGGATTCCATCATGGTCTATTCGATTGAGAGAAACAACATTGCCGTCCAGGGCTGTATTTTGTTTGCCTTCCGTCACTTTGCCGGAGCAGGAAAGTTTGAGACTCGTACAGAACTAACCAGGTGAATATAAAATGGATTTGTTGTACACGTACTTTGGGCCCTGCGTTTTCGGTACGCAAGCCGTATTTAAGCTCCCCACTTGGGACAGACCTCGCCCTAATTAGAAATCTAATTAATCAACTGGCAAAAATAGGCATTTCCTTTGCCCAAGCAAACACTTACGGCCACACGAAGAAAACAGTGCAATACTCAATCCTATACATAGGATACTGTGTTGGGGTGTAGTTACCTTGCTCTCCCCATCCATTAACTATCCGCTGCCTTTTATATCCATATCCTACAACGAAATTATACTGTCCATTGCATTCCAGCCAGAGTAGGACATAGATAACCCTAACCCAAGACAGTAGGCAATCTCGTTGGGCCCCAAACCTTCTGCAGTCATGCTACTGTGCCAGCATCGCTCTGATAGCGGCTTACTGGGTCCTGGCCGTTTGGGCCAACAAACGCGCCGACAAGAACAGAGACCCGAATTCTGAGGATCAACCTGACTCGTTCCAAGACAGGACTAATTTCGAGCAGCTGGGTTTCAAGTATACGACGTGAAACGTGAGTGCGCTATCCCAAAATATGGAAAATGATGGTTGTGGAAGATCGTTCATGGCAGTGTGGGGTACAAAGCAGGAAAAAATGCATGCGGTAACTAGTTACTAGCTATGCCTTTCGACTTATTGAATGAATCAATTTATCTGCTTGATGAGTGTTGGCTTTGATTACAGCCCCACCAGGCCTTAAAAGATGTAAATAAGGGCAACAAGAATGCCCTATTGAGACAATGAGATGGATTGAACCTCATGCAGGTCATGCTCAGTCTGCTGAAGAACACAACATTCCGTACATTCGACAGAAGAGGTAAAAGTACGCCAAAGGGTCCCACTACCATTATGTATGGATGGACAGGACATACACATGCTCCATGTAGTCTCATTGTGTTAAAAAAAAATTGTTATGCAATCATGAACAAACCATCAATGCAGAGCCATAGAACTACAACAGAAATTGTCTGTCTGTATAACTGATCATTAACACAGCACCTAGATTGAACTGGTTCAGTTATATCTGCTTGGGTAATAGAGACATATAGATTGATATGCTATCATGCAAAATTGTGCTAAAAACGAACCCAAAAAAAAAAAAAAAAAAAAAAAAAAAAAGGCCCTATATGGATGGGGTCTTTAAATGGAGAAGAGGATGATTAGAGAAAAAAGACAGCAACCAGCAAGAAAGCAAAGGAGAGGAACAAAGCCGTTAAAGCAACAAGATTTCAAGACAGTTCTGTTGTTCAGCAGCACTGAAGGAGGGGAGTCTCACCAGGAGGGTGAAAGAGACCAAAGATCCAAGTAAACGACATAGATTTGTATCACGCCAAACTAATTATTCCCGGTCCTTCGTTCCCCCAAAACTTGCCACGGGGATAATCAACATCCCTTGCGCGGTACGCACATTCAACAACCATGCGCGCTTTCCGAACACTACCCAAATTGCGTGTTTTCTGGATATTCATCAACCTGTCCAGAACGAAACGGCGGTGCTCCTCGTCGTCTAGCGCAACATTACCAACGATGAACAATGGCCAGAGCAGAGTGGGAGAATCGGGGAGTCTATCTATAAGACTTATTATCAGATTGACGATGCGGGATTTAAAAGCTGACGGTGACATCTCGACAGCGCGCGGGCCAGTGGCATTATTTATGGGAGGCGCGTTGATTCTATTGTTGTGGGCATTGTGGGCATTGTGACAGTGATAATGCCTTTCGACGGGATGAAAATAGCTGAGGCCGTTGGGGCTTCCCAGGCGTTCGCGCAGGTAAAGAAGTGCTGTCAGTCGTTTTGTTCCGGCAATATATTGCAGATCGTCGTGGGCTGAAACATAGCTAGGCAATTTTTGTTGGAGGCCTCGCAATGCGACCTCGATATCATTCCGCCTTGCGTTGAAAGCTGAGGTTTCCGACGGGGTGAGTTTGCGGGTTTGGACGATCTTCAAAGAAAATTTAGTCTGTGTGGACCTCCGCAGATAAAATGGTTGCTATGCTGGGTGAGGTTATGGTTGGTTAAATACCTTTGCCTTCTCCATAGCGCACGTCGATATTTTACTTATTAAAGTCATTAGGCCTCGAGAGCAGCCCATCAGTATGTCAATCTAAATGGTTTCATCATCATCAAATACAAATTAGAAGAGGCCAATGACAGTCATATCTTTTAACAGGCTCAAAAGTGATATTCTATGACTCACCTCTTCCAGGTTATCATCCTCCAGCCACGAATGGTCTACTTGTTCTACCGTCGAGGGATCTTCAACGCCAGTTCGACCCATAATATCATGAGCCACAAAATACATGACGAAGAATCTCTTCAATTCGCATGCCGGCTGTGGGAGCAGTGCCATGAGTTGCAGACCCCCTCGAAGATGTGTCGTCCAGGATGGGGTGCACCCATCAGTTATCTAGAAAACTGGCCTCATTAAAAAGACAGTCCCGTAACCAAAAAGCGAGAGAAAAGGTTACAGTCTACTTGCATCATGAAAACAAAGCATCAGGACCGTCGCCACAGCCCCAGCACTTGGCTTTTTATCATTAATCTCACTCTGCAGTCCATTGAGCGCCTTTTGTTTGTACATATATGCCTCCCTCTCATATCTGCGGTCGCCAATGAGCTGAAGCTGATTCGCAGCAATAGCAAGAAGAATATTCCTCAGCGGTTCATGAGGCTGTTGATAATTCAACGCCAATGATGCGACCAGTGATAGATAGGGATTAAATCCCGGACTAAGCGAGCAGAATGGAGCGATACCACGGATAAAATAGTCAAGAAGAAGCCTCTCGACGGGAGAATAATGCGCCAGCGGATGATGTAGGGGCTGGTGTGGGGAGAGATGGTCCAAACCATTCGTCGACTGAGAAACCGCCAACTGCATTACCGCGCTCGTATCTATTTCTTTGCGATTTCCATCACCAAAATCACAGTATGTTGTGTTTAAAAATAACCATCGACCGACATATTGATCTATTGGTACTGGTTGAAATTCGCTTCCCAGCTCAGTTTTAGTCGGTGATTCAGCCTTTAAAGAACGTTTCGACCATATTCCTGCATCGTCAAATCAGCCTATGGGTGTGTCTAATGTTATGTTCGGCCCCTGGTTTTACGGAAACTAGTAAGTTTCTAAAGACGGGGCAGTAAAGTTATACCTTCCCGACCAAAATGTATTCCCCTCTGCGCCGCATCCTCTCTCCAAAGCAATTTGAGACCCCGCATGCATTGGAGGTTCAGTCGCTCGCATCGGCTACACACAGGCAATTCCTCGGTGCACTGGACATGTTTTTCTGATCATTGCAGTCTCAAGTCAGCATTTCGTTCTGATTCAACATAGAAAAGCAGAAAGTTGTGGCACCTTTACATGTCCAGCAACCCGTCCGTCGTCGGCTCTCGGGCTGCTTCCTTTCTCTGCGGGTCATCTGAATGTATAAAATTGCCTTACGCCCTTAGTCAGGGCTGTCCGTTCGGCTCGCTGCAGGGAGGTTCCCTTTCCACAAGTACTAAACCAAAGCCATCGTGAAAATGAGTATCGTCAAATGCGGCGCCGTGGCGGGGTGCTCGACAATGTCTTTGCAAAAAGCTCAGCGGCGGTATAATAGCGATCCTACAGGTACGACCAGGGCTAGACAGGAAATTCTTCCCCCTGGGACGTTGAGATATGCTGCAGTCAACGTCGCCTCTCTCTGTGAGAAGAAATCCCCAAGCCCGCGGCGTTATTCCACTTTGGGACTTGGGACTTGAGGCACAACCATGCACCAAACAAGCTGACTCAGCCAGTGGATTGCCAATACGAGGTCTCAAGAAAGTAAAACATCCCAGCAATTGCGGGGTGGACGAAATATGGGGTCAGAGAGGATATGGTGGGGCTGGGCAAGGAGCGATTTTGCACATTAGGTGTTCAAACCATCTCATAGAAACGCAAAACAAATAATTAACGAGTTACCGCAGTATAACGTAGCTATCGGTATATAGTGCAAACGGAACAGTAACCACTCCCTTCAGCAACCGTTGTCGGGAATAACTGGAGTTTAAGATACAATGATGTAAAGCAGTCCATCTGCCCGCAAGCTAGCCCAATCCCTCATCCCCTCATCGTTGAATGCCCAGCTGGAAGTGGACACCAAAACATGCGGCCCGTTTCCGCCAGTCAGACAAAAGGAAGATAGCAGCAAATAACAATGCAGCCTCCGTAGAACTCCTCGCTCATGCGTAACTGCCTAACGACCCAGGTATTTATAATCAAGCCACAGAGAAACAACATCAAAAATGAAAGCAAATGCCGATACCAGGTCCTCTCTAACAATAGAATTACCATATCCTTCACAACATGCTGGGTTCCTCAACCCTACCACTGGGTGACGGTTTGCTGTTGTCACCTACTTGGATGCCCCACACTCTCCATCGAGCATCTTCAATTATGTCCGTCTTAAGCCACATCCCTTTAAGTTTCTTCCTTCCATCCGTCTCCCCATCAGAGGATTCTTGCCCCTCTGACACATCATTCGAATCCATCCACGCGAAAAGGAGTCTTAGTTGCCAGAGTCTGTCCTTGATCATATCATCCCCACCTCCTTGTCCAGTTGCAGCAGCCACCAACTGCTGAACTGTTCTGTCAAGCGCAAGCCTCGTATCCACAACACTTGGACGCAGCCAGGAGGGTGAACTAATGGCTCTTTTCGACTGGTCCCTGGCATATATTGTAATTGGTTGCTGAGATGGTACCGAAGGGATGACCATCGCCTTTTCACCCATATCAAACATTCGGAAAGCACGAAGATTGAAAATCCACTCCCACAGTTGACGCGCAGGGAATCGGACTTGAATGGATGATTTGCCTTGGGAATACAGGACAGGGACTACTGCATTTGGCACGGTGTTTCCTGGTCTGGAGTAACTCGGCATCGAAGACGAAGATATATCCTGGGCATCGCTCAGTGCCATGAGCGAGGACGAGAACTCTGAGGAGCTGGATGCATTGTAAGCAGCTCGCCTGCGAAGGTAAACAGATTGGTCACCCAAACGGAATTTGTCCTGGAGCACGTCATTGCCAGCGAAGTCCAAGGTCAGATCCCAGTGATCAGGGCTCTGTAATTTCACAGTAGCAACGTCGTCTATATTAGGAAGTAAACAAGGGGCTGTTGTAACCCGACTTTCTCCAGTTTTAAATGTCAGAGACACTGGAGCGGTCACCGGACGCCGCGAATCAAGGTCGCGCGGGATAAGACACCTTGACTCCGCTGCAAGGACCCAAAGATGGCGGAAAGCCTGAAGATGGCATTTATTATCAAGGACTGTGGTGGGAAATACGGGGTACAAGGAGCAGAGCAGGGACGCAATCCCAAGATTCGAGGTTCCCAGTGTATATGTTCCCCCTCCTAAAAAGAGCATGCCGACAGCCATGTGGACGGCCATGTGGCTTCCATAAGGAGTATCTCCACTAACATAACCATGGAGTGACCGAAGCCGGCGGAAAACTATGATATCTCCGGTTCCAGCCATGACGGCGGCTGTAGATAATGCAACAATATCCTGACAATTACGAACCGCATTGCGAGCTAACTTTTCATCGTAGTTATGCACAGTGAACCGAGAGATACGTATAAACTGATCAAGGTATAGCACAAGGAGATCTCGTGCATGAGAGGCACCGGAGCCAGCAAATCGTAGCCCAATAGCAAAGCAAAGCCCTGCAAGGATGTTAAAAAATGGCATATCATCAGAACATAGGCGGCGGACTGTTGTAAGCCGATATCTCTGCCTGTAAATCGGTGGAAGATTACTTTTAATCCATCTGTGGCTTGCGGTTATAGAATCCCACATAATCAAATGTTTAGCCAATGTGCGAAGCAGAAAGATGTCAGGCCGCACATAATCAAACTGAGCAGTAGTGTCAGGAATGTCGATCTTTTCGGCAACAGCTGAGTCGTTTGATTTCATAAATATTATCGCGAGCGCAATTGTCGCCCCTGCAGTGGCTTTATCTAGGATGTGAACAACCTCCACATTTTTTGTCCCAACAGCAAGAGCTAGTAATCTTTCCACAATATGCATATCACGCAAACCTCTCAGATCATTACCTTTAGCAAGATTTATAAATCCCAGGGCAAAACCTGCAGCCAAACGATAGCCCTCATCTCGTAGTATTTCCTGTGAAATTGATGGCTCTTCCTGCTCGGTATTTTCCATTTCTGACAACATAACTTCACTCATCCGTCGGTGTTGAGAGTTGCAGTAGAGCAACCCAATGCCCATAATTCCGGTGGTTTGTGTCAATGGAGACAAATTCAATTCCGCGGCTCCTGGGGGTAACATTCTGGTTACATGAACCGAAAGTAAACGTGTTATCAGAGTGTCCATCGTGCCGATATATGAGGCGGAAAGCCCTAACAGAAGACCAATCGAGGTCATCGTATGTTTGGGAGTTAAATACTTAAAGGCGACCCATTTCGCTAGAGACTTTAGGTGCCCGTTCAAACCCAACGCAAGCAAAAAGCCAGCATGCCTATTTGTCAGTTCCATTGGCTTATTATACAAGATCCAGGATGTATCGATGCCCTTAGCAGCTCTTGAAATTGCCAGTCCAGTCGATGCCCCATTATGAAAGAATGCCCAGCAAACTTTATCCTCAGAGAAAGCCGTTTTGTCGGCGCTAATTGTCACATTAGAAGGTTTTACAATGCACTGTAAAGAAAACGCAGGGATTGGCAACTTCTCCGTCAAGAGTGGTACTCTGCCACTAAATCCAATCATTGCTCTCCCAGCAGGAACTGACAAAGTTCGCACAACCACAAGCTGAACCAAATCTTTCTGAGCCTCAAGTATTTCCGACTCAGACAAACCCGGAGCAGGGAAATATTCTGCCTGAGGAGGTTTCATTTGATTAAGAATTCTAAAGGCCTCGTAAAACCGTCGATCTTCGCGGAAAATGAGTCGAGTTATGGATTGTCTATCGGCTTCGGCTGAAACTTCGAACGAGCTAACAGAGTTTCCGTCCAACGACTGGCTCCCAATTGAATGGACGTCCCGTACAGCATCGTGGGATTGGATACACGGAGATATTGGCATCGGACTACTTGCCCCGTCTTCCGTCATTGACATGAAAAGATCATCTCTGTCGACTAATGCGAGAAGTGAGCTGTCCCAGTAATTAGGCGGTGCTGGCTGGCATCGAACGATCGCTTCATGAAGAGAAGCACTGATACCGTCTGGAAGAGTATCAATTACAGAGCTCGTTAGACCCCAACGAAGGAGCAACTCCACTCGCTCTGTAACAGTAGTTTGTTTCTTTATCTCAGAAATGAACCCATTTAAGGCTAGAGTTCGTGGTGTGAGCCGCATAGCTTGCTCTAAGATACAATTCCCCGCAGCACCAGAAGCGGAGCTCGATACAATGTCGATAATTGTCAAGAAATTTGCTTGTTCGTAGTTAAGCGATTTTTCAATGAAGGAGAATATCGAAGGGGGTGGGAAAGGTTCTTCCGGCAAGTCCAAATTTGACATCCTGGATTCTTCAAACAACCACTGGTCTATGCTTGCCATCTCAACACCATAATATCCATTATCAGTCCAATCCCAGGACTTCCATCTCAACCATCCACCGATTTGGGCTAAGACGGGGACAAGGAGTCCAGTTTTTGAATAGGAAGTCTCTGCACCGACAATAGAGAGCTTCTGTTCCTCACGCAGTAGATGAAGCCCCACTAATATTGTTCCAAGAGCGGTTCGTCTTGTGTCTTGGTCGCGAGAAACAGCTGTTGGAAGATAACCCTCCGCACCAATTGCTGCTTCACCCTGTGGAGAGAGAAGGAACTCCCTGGATAACGCGGCACAACGGAGAATATAAGAATTCTTTCGGGAATTGGCTCCGGATTCAAGACCGGGCCGAAGATCTGCCCAAGGATTTTCTTCCGGGGTCCTCGAATCTCCTTCTGTAGCCCACCCCCATGCAGAACTCATCATCCAGGGGGATGCAATACCCCGGGATCCAGCTTCTTGGTCCAACATACTATCCCAATTCTCAAGATCAATTGAACTTCCGCTACTAGATCGAAGGAAGTCGCCCCTTCTCCGCCTTTTTCTAGATAGGGGTTTGGAGGGATTACCTTCGATAAAATAAACGGCCATAGCAAAGAGGACGATCACCACCGCAGTCCACTCTAAATTGGTATCATTTTCCTTTTCCTCCCTTGATTGCAACCACTTTAAAACTTCCCACCAACCGACAAGAATTCCATCACCAACTTTATCGCCCTGCCGCAAGACGAATTTGCAAACAGAAAGAATCTGCTTAACTTGAGGATTATGTGGCTCAAGCTGGATTTGAATCTTGTGTTTCCGGCCCTGCGTGTCAATAACATCTACCTTGCCCCGATTCGTAGAATGTCGTAAACCGAGCAGGTTAAACGACCCATCACTAAGAACTCTCTTCAAACTCCCTTCCCGTGGTCGGTTCGGAGAGTTGGTAATGGACACCCCATGCGGCCCATATATCGTCATACTAGGGGGGAGCTCAATTTTGACAAGGGTACTCCATGGTGCTTGTAGTGTTAATTCTCCTTTACCATCAATTGTTGAGGACAAAATGAGTATTCGCGATATATCACCATCGACGATTTTACAACAATCCATTACATTGGAGCCATGGCGTATGGCCGTAGCCCGGACAGTGAAACCTCGGTCATCCAGACCTGCTTTTCTCTTGTCCTTTCGTAGACGAGATTTAGGTTGTAGTTTAGCACAAGTTTCAGTCGCAAGAAGACTTACAACCGACAGGTTCTTTGAATTCTTGTTCAGTATGCAAATTGCAATAGATGTGGATTCGGGTAAGTCCGGAGAGGCATCCTGGTACGAAGAAATTGTAAACACTTCAAATTTCTGGCCTTTGGAGAAATTCGGGGCACTGCGTGCGGTTGATAATCCGGAAGAAAAACTATCAACCTTCGCAAGCATCATCTCCCTTGGTAAACCAGAAATTGTCTCTCTAAGGCCCATATTATCGAATCCTTCAAAGTCACCTCCGTTGTTGAGGCTTTCTAAGAATTTGTCAACGGGGGCATCGAGAAAACTGCTCCCATTACTATACACTGAGGTGCTCCCTGGAGGCAACGAGTTTCTTGCATGGAACCCAAAACTTGCACGCGAACTTTGCCCACCAAAAGATTCTCCCCGCCTAGCTCCGTAAAATGACGAAGCATTCTGGTTTCCGGTCACAAATTCCGAAAATGTTGTTCTGTCATTATTGGAGCCGAGATCAGCCCGTGCAAGCAATGAACTCACTCTTCTTGATGCCCTCATTGAAGCACCTATATCGTCAAATTCGCGGCCCAGTTTGAACGCCAAATCCTCTTCCTCATCGCCATTTTGCTTTTGGTTCGGTCTGTACATGTCCGAAACAGACCGGCCCTGACCTAATCCACCAAAGCTTTCGCGGAGCCCAGATGGTCCCCGACCACCTGGTGTATTCACACCCGTCATATCGAAATGGGAGCTCCGTCGCTTCGAGTAGGCTCCACTTGTAGTCGATGCTCGCCTTTTAGACTGGGAAAGAGCGGAATCTCTGTCTCTGTATCGAGCAGTCCAGATGGTATACAATCCCGTCTTCTCATTTAATGTGACAACAAATAATAAGGGATGTTCCTCGTCTGCTCTAGACATGGACATTGTGACCTCATCCCTTGCGGAGACGTACAATACTTCCTCCTCGGAATCAAGCGCATCAAAATTTGATCCTCTGTCTTGAGATGCTACAGATGGATTAGCAGCGACAACCAATCCCATTTCGGAATGGGGGTCCACGAGGCAAAACACTCGGGGGAGCAAAGCATTGTCGTCTAGCTTTGGAATCCACTTCAAGGGCTGAGCAGGAGACAAGGTAAGGGAGGGTCGAGCATCACTTCCCCCAGAAAGTGTGAATGAACTCTGATGTACGGTCTGCGATGATACAAAAGAATTGGGAGGAGGCGCCGGCACAGACTTCTTGTGCTCTCCCCTGATTTTTCTCTGGAACAGGAGACCCCGCGCTGAAGCCCACACAGCATCAACCTCAAAGGGAAGAGGAACAATGTGCGAGTCGCCGTTGACAAAAAATATGTGTGCTTGCGATTTCAAAACCACAACCAGCGCCCTTGGTAGAGTGCTTTCAACATTTGCGTCACCAGCAGCAAGTGTGGAAATTACCTCTGCGGGTTTTGATATGGCGTTATTTCTCTCTTGGTGATACTTCTTCCCTTTCAGCTTCGTTTTTACGGTGGCAGGTCCACTTCGAGATGCATTGTCGACAGCTAAACTCTTCCCTGCCCCCTTTCTGTATTGTCCTTTGGTAAGACTAGCTGAAAAAGTAGCAAATAGGGCGTCGACTATTTCCTCTTTCTCAATGTCAAAACTGAAGGCCCTTTTGACGACCCCGCCTCGAGACCACACCACGCAGTCATTTGTAAATATCAACTCCTCCTCCACCAGGTTTCCAGTTCCATTGTCGACATTGCAGGTTTTCCACACAAACTGGTCTTCGGACGGATTCGCTGGAAGCTTCGACTCGGCCACTAGGTATGGTATTCCAGTGGGCTCGTGGAGACCTAAAGAGCGGACTGAGGCCATTATCAAATAAGCATATGGAAATATTCTGCCGAAGCGACGCCAGCCGGTGAGAACAGGATTTGGAGCATGCCCATGATTGCGTAAAGAGAGGAGGTTTGATGGTAATTCGAGGTTGGGTGCAGTATAAGGCGTGGTTCTGAGTTAAGCCGCTTTTTTTCAAAATGTCTTGCGGTTGTTAGCTAACTAAATAGACGCGAAGCGCGACTTCTAGTGGCGACTCGTCAACTTTATCTCACATCAACACCATTCAACATCTATTTATCTCACAGAAAGACAACACACAGATCAAACACCACGAGAAACACAAAACATAATTTACGCTTCTCATGACATCCAAAAGGTAGCAATTGCACATTCCAGCGCTATCACCTTGCAAAGTTACTACGGCTGTGTCCCTACAAGACTTGTTCTATCCGCCTTCTTCAGCTGGCAAACAGGGGGAACAAGCGATGTTGGGTCTCCCATTAGACCCTGTTGTTCGGCAGAGAGAAAATGGTGTACAGTTAAGGTAGGTTTTCCGGCAGATCTTAAACCAACTTCGTATATTTCCTTCCCGGATATTATGTGCTGAAGAGATAAATAGTTATCAGCAACCTCATCGAGTGTACGACACCAAAATATACCCTATCCAGGCCGGTAACTGCTCTACTCTAATAATATATGGTCACGATCATGGGATACGGATCTTATGGAGAGGTGGAAAGGCGTTCAAATCCCAACAACCCAAGCCAGTGGAGCAAGAACAGCCAAACCCGAACGGAACCTCAAATGATGATGTTATTATGATTGTTGATTCAGACGATGACGATGACGAAATACCCGCTACAGACCCTAAAAATGCGACTGCGCCACCCGTGGAATTCGAAGACGAAGAGGACGAAATTGATCTGTCAAGACCTTTTCACGACATCCTACAGCATATCGACATCCAACTCGGAGTAAAAGTGTTAGGCCTGTCAGTGCCTACTTTCAATTCAGAACAACTCAGATCGACTCTAGAGTCATATCCGGAGATATTTTCCAACATTGCTGTTATTACAGCTGTTTGCGCAGACTGTTCAATCCGAGTTCTCGCACTACCGCTAACACCTCCAAACCCCCAAGATAGCTCATCGTGGGGGCTTCAATCTGTCACAATCAGTGCTGGGTCCATACAAGCTATCCCAGCAGGCATTGCTGTAACTTTCACTGCACGAAGCCCGAGTAACAGCAGCAGTCGATACAGATCCCAGAGTCTTAACCGCACTCCTAAGAGCAACCCCGATGCAGAATCTGATGGCGCTTGGGATCTTCTAGTAGCTGTAAATTCCGCCGAAGGATCTGGCACCCTTTCGATTTATCGAGTTCCCATCACTTATCGGCCAGGCCAGTCCAAAGATTCACAGATCTTACCCTCAGAACCTGCTCTCCCTGTACAACATCTACTGCTCCCGTCTCCTGCAAAAGCTATCTCATTCAACCCCTCCCAATATCCCTCTGAACGTCATTCTCATCTACTTGTATCATTTGCTAGTGGTAGCGTTAAGATTTATTCCTGTCTGACATCCAAATCCCAAAAACCTATTGCTGACAGGAGGGGGTGGTCCAGTGATGGGACCCTTAAAGAATCCGAGGGAACTTGGTTAGTCACGCTTTCTACAGAATTCTGTCTGTCTCCTAGTGGAATACCCCGACGGATGGCGGTGGTAGACGCAGCATGGGTTCTTGGAGGCAAAGCCATTATGGCTCTTCTCTCGGATGGATCGTGGGGTGTCTGGGATCCCGAAGGAACATGCCCGGGAAACAAAGACTTCACAAGCATTGCCCACAACCAAAGTACTTCATCTACCGAAGGTGGCTCAGTGACATCGTTTGCTGTCTCCGGTTTTATATCTGGGCCTATATCGGCGACTAAACCTCTTATATCTGGACCAACAGCAGACAATCGATCTAGTTTCGTACCCATGACCCCGTCTACCCGAAGATTTAGAGAAGACACGCTCTTCAAAGGCTCCTCAGCTAACAACCCATCAACATCCTCAACGCGAGGTGGAATATCTGTATTGGCTACAAAGATTTCAAAGGATGGGCTTCCAGATGAGTCGATTGTCATATGGCACGGAAGTCAGAATATATGGATAGCCAGCCTTCTGACTTTGTGGAGAAACAGCACCAAACCCAATGGTACATTCAATCCGTCGAGTCGCAGCAAACCAATTCCAATTGAGAATGTCAATCTCCTTGGGGAACTTCAAAATGGAATCGCTCAACTTATTCATAATTCCACGACAGCAAAGGGCACCAAAAATGTTAAACCAGATGTTTTAATAACGGCTGAGCATCAGCTCATAATTCTTACACAGAAACCTTCAGAACAGGGAGCTGTTAAGTCTGGGTCAGATACCCAAAGGAACGCAGATGCCCTAATTGAGGGTGACCAGTCGAGACTGAAGAAGGGCGAATTGGATCTCGATGGCATGGACAGAGTGCTATCCGGTATGGCAAGTGGAATGCAGACAGTTGAAGCGTTTCGGAACCCACAGCGCAAGGGATTATTTTCCTAGAGGTGCCCACCCCATAATTGCCAATTGCCCTGTTCCCATACCTTTGTTTATTTCCCTTGACCATCTGATGTTCAAATCTGGATTACCCAATACAACAGCTTCACCCCCAGAACGAAGTGGATAGCAGTTTACTTTTGTCTGGATTCCAATCTACCATACTCAGGGAAAGAAATACCATAAATAATTTTTCTTTCTATCCATTTTTCATCCTCTTTCCTTTCGCAATTAATCAATATCGATAGATGTTAACTCCCCCTGAATCCATTCCCCTTCTCCATTCATACTTCGCTACGCAAGGTGGAGCACAAGGCGAGATACCATGTCTTGAAATTCAACCTTATCAACCACTCATTTTCTCTCACACACACGCTAGTGAGTTGTAGAAATTGTTGGGTCTAGGGTTGAATAGGCTCTGTATTCGAAGCGATATATTAAAAGTTTTCCCCTTGAAAAAAACCGGAACATATAACGTAACGTTTTTGTCTCCCAGATACACGTCGATAACAGTCAATTTGACAGGGAAAGAAAAAAGGATCAAGGCTGAAGTGGGATGGATCGGACTTCCTGGAACCATGAGCAAGGAAGACTAGGGTTTTTCATCTGAACTTCCTTTTCTCGTCCCCTTTCCTCAGGATATTTTAACACACAATGTCCTTATTTGTCCTGCCTTGGCTTTCCTTTCTTCTTTCTTAGTGTTTGGGAGTAGGTAAGGGGATACATTTCATATTTTATTTTCCCTGTATCTTGCTGACAATATGCCAGCGTACGTAAGAGAGAGGAATGTGGGTCTTTAAGAAATGTACCCGCCTCTATTCGTGCGTCTTCGAATGGCAAAATAGAACCGTCTGTTCAAACACCCAGGTGGAGGGAGAGGGTCGTTTCCAACATAGCTTTTCGTAACGCTGCTTCTTTGTGGCGCTGTCTGTCCGCATCGAAAAGAACGAATCAGTCATCCAGCATACGGAGTTAAAAGCATCACAAATATCAACCAAGAAACAGTTTAAAGACCAGATCCAGAGTTTGATTTTTACTTTTTCTTCCCTTCGTCCTGTATAGTCATAACTTATGGTTTACAGTACTGCACCACAATAGGAGGCACAGAAATACCAGATGATAAACCGTGGGCCAGAGGGGAATATCAACTACGTACACAAAAAACACAATAAACCCACACAATGCACAGAAACAAAAGGAAATAAAAAGGAAGCGCCCAAAAGCAAAAACTAGGGAAATATGCAGATAGGGCCGGTGAAGCCATTGTACTCGAGGTTGCAATAAGAAACACACAAACAAGGGGGAATGGAATAGGATAAGTGTGATAAGTTAATAATAGTAAAAAAAAAGGAAAGTATAGGGAATACCCGGCTTCTCTCCAGGTGATATAATATATTCATCTCCCCTTGCTTCCTGATAATTATCAATCAGTCGTGGCATATCCCATTCAAAAAAGAGGTATTAAAACAAAACCCAGAAAGAACAAACGGAAAAATGGTTAAGAAAATGGTGTTAAACAAGGGCTCTAGTAAACATCCTTTTAACGGTGAGAGAGAGAAAGGAAAGAATCCAAATTGACGATAAAATCTGCTGGTGCCTTTCCCACAATATGAGTTTTGGGGGGGGTTTTTTGGTTCTTTTGTCGCTCTGGTCTTCTAAAAAAAGAGGATGATGCTGGAGACTTTTCGTTTGGAAAATTAGTGACAAAATAAAAAACAGAGAAAATAAAAGGGAGAGAAGACTAGCAAGAACACATATGATATCAATAATATCTAAAATGGAATTAGACGGGATGGAAAGTAAAAGAAAAGTGAGGAGAAAACCCCAAGGAAAACGCTAATTTGCGTGAAACAATCCACGCCTTTTCCAGGAATTTGTTGTGCAGTAGAAAATAACAAAGCGATATTAAGTTATGAAAAAACAAACGGCCCGTTTTTAGGGTTCACCTCTTTTACTCCCAAAAAAGGAATCAACTAACAACAGTTAAAGAAAATATTTTTCGTGGGTATGTTTGTGTGTATGGAGTGCTGACAATAATATGGGCATCTTATGGATGAAAATGCCAGAGTTCGGCCAGCGTAACGGATGTGACAAAAGGAAATTTATCTTTCTAAAACACAAGAAATGAAAAAGAAAAAAAAGTGAATGCTAAAACAGAAGAAGAAAAGGAGAATACAATTATCGAGAAGTGTCCGCGGTGGGGAAAGGCGTTGATGAAGGCGGTCGCGGTAAATCATGAGGAATAGGAGGGAGCTCCTTCGATTCTGACGAAGAGAGAAGGGAGTCAGCCCTGAGCTCCCGCATTGCTGCTTTCCCCTTCACAGATGCAACGAAGTTCGAGGAGGGTTCTGATTTCGGTGGCGGGGCCGGAAGTAGGGGAGGAGGACCCGATGGTCCCGTGGCAGTGCGGAATTCGGAAGAATTCCATACTTCTCCATTGGCCATTTTTTCGACACCTCTGTCGTCCTGCCGGTTTCTGTTGTAACTATTCCTCAATTCAATCCTTTCGCCACTGCTGCTTCCACTCCCTCGACTTTTGCTCCCAGTACTAGCAGCTTCCCCAACCTCTTCCACGACTGGTAGAGTAGATGTGACACCTGGCATATCGCTGGAGGTGGAGCGGATGGTAGATAAGATATGTTGATGGGGCTCTGGATCGGTCGCGAGATTTCTGCCAGCCCTGGCTGCATCTCTTTCGGCCCGTTCCATGACTCTTTCGATAGAGGAGCTTGGATGAGCATGAGGAAGTGCCGTGCCATCCATTGACGTGTGGCCCTGTTCTTTGCTATGTCTTTCGCGTTCAGCTTCTTCCTTCGACATGGCGATGCCCGTGACGAAGTTGAGAAATCGCTCCCCATATGCCACAGGAGGGATTGGGGATATTTGATTTCTGTTGTGCGATAGTCCTTTCCAGAAATGTTCCGCTTTCTTGATCATGCCATACTGTAAATTAAGGATAGTTAGCCAAACATAGTTCCATGCAAGAGGTGCAGGATATTAATAATAATGTCAATAAAAACATACATGTGTCAAACAGTCAATGACCCCGAGATAGTAAATCTCGTCTCCCGGTTCACCGTTTTCATGGGTAGCCCGAAACCCACCATCATCAGAATAGAACACAAGGTTCTTCCGTTCATCTAATATCTCATCTGGGAGGGCGGCAGATTCTTGAATTGGCACCGGCTTTTCCCGTTTGATTATCTCTCGTAGCTCCCTGGCCTTCCGAGCGTTCTCGAGTCTTGAGGGTGTTCTCATAAGGAGATTTGGCTGTTGATGATCATCTCCCCGTTCCCCACCAGGCTGGAAAACCTGGAGAGTTTTACCTCGAAGCTTTTCGTCATTTCCTTTCCCCAGGTCGTGGATACCAACTAACAGCGAGTAATCCATGATCTTTAGACGTTGAAGCAGCGACACGTCCCTCTTCAGTTGAGCTAGGAAAAATTCTCTCTTGACAGGGCCACATTGGAGACGACGACTTCTTCGAATCCAATTAAGGTCCTTCAGTGTTGCCCTAGGGTTCTTCTCGACATCTTCTTCCCGAAAGTCCCGGCCAATGGTTGAGCCTTTAAGATCAAACATTTGGTGAATATCTCGGTGCGGAGGAAATAAATTATTCATAACAACGAAATGTATCTTTCGGCCATACGCCATCTTAACCCGATGGAGACCGTAAAACTGTGAGATTAGGGTGTTTGGGTTGTTCTCGATGTGTTCGTAGTAATCGCGCAGAATCCTCCGGAGGAGCTTATGTTCGGCATGGTGGATAGTTTTAATGATGTACTTATAGTCGCGGGAAAAGTAAAAGAAACTACCGCTTTTGCCAGGAGAACCCAACTCAGACAAAATATACTTGCTCGTTAGGGACATCAAGTAGTCAGCAGGGTCGAGTTTGAATTTCGCACGTAACCGGCGGAACACCCAGGGAGCATAGTCTTTGAATTTAAAATCATACTTGGCGGAGGGCGTCAATTCGTTGCCGGTTCTATACAGACGAACATATGAGTAAAAGTGAAAGAATGAATAGAGGGCCATGAACTCGAGAACGACTTACATGTCAAAGGAGAATTTATGTTTCGCTTCAAAATCGGCATCTGTAAGTTCACGGTCCAGCTTGGCATTGGTTCTAGAAACAGTAAACCGAATCCCAGTCAACATGTTGTATGCTGTAACCCAGTTTACATGGTTCTGATCAACCTTGGTGCCGATAATAACGCGATCGTCGTCCTCTTCTTCCTTGCGCCTTCGCTTGCTAGCCCGTTTTTGCTTGATCATTTCTGCCCATCGAGCAGCGTCCTCTTCGGGTGCGATCTCATCTGTGTGGAGGTCAGAATTTAGCGACCGCGTGGTCCTTCGGGCTAAGTTGAGGGATGCCCGTCGACGGCCTGTGGTTGGGGAAGTATGTCGATCCCCACTTGCAATACTGTCCTCAGGAGGATTGGGATTGGGAGTGGATAGATCGCGGCTATTCCTCCGGCTGTTATTGAACTTAGGCACCTGAAGAGTATGGCGCTGTGGTCGAGAGCTAGTTGGAGAGACTGGGGTATCGCTGTCAGTTCGAATAGGGGCGCTAGGAGAGGAATAGTTGTGTTCTGTGTGGGAAGGTGGTTTTTGGGAAGGAGGGATGACAGCGCCGTCCAACATCGAAGTAGCCGGAGCAAAGTCAGTAGATGCGAAGTCATAGGAGGAAGTGCTATACCCGTTGGCAATGGGTCCAGGGCTAGTCGACCTGGACGTTGGGGATATACCATTCCTCTGAGTCGCAACTACAGCTCCATTCAATTCCGGCACAGAGGAGTCCGTGGACCCATTCCCGCGACAATCATTTTGGGTTTGAGTCATGCTACCATTTTCCCTTTCCCTATCTCTTCCGGGCGCCGTCATCACTGAAAGGATACTTCCATTTCTCGGCCTGACGGGATCATGGCCATGAGGAGGAGCAGACCGTGCGGTGCCAAGTGATGCAAGCGACGGCAGACTCCCGCTCTTGAAGCTGGTGACAAAGTGTTCGGAAGTGGAATCGACGCAGACGCTCTCACCATTTGCATCGCTTGTCCAAACGAAGGTATTGCTTAAGGACGACTTTTCGTATGACTTGCGGGTGATTTGGTCATGAGGGGAAGCTGGACAGGAAGTAGCTTGATGGTGCGTATGGCGGAGGAGGTGAGGTTCGGTGGTAGTAAACGAGGGCATGTTGGAGGAGCAGCTGCACTAACGTGTGTGGGGGTGGGGGTGGGATTGGAGGATAACAGGTTCCCTTGCCACTCCGGAACAATGACAGGCAATAGGAAAGGGAGAGAGAAGGAGAGAACAGGGCCGTCAAGACTCCAACAGCCCTACTACAATATACTTTTTAGTCGGAGGTGGGCGGTCCGTAATTTGGGGGGTGGAAGTGGAGGAGCAGCCTGCCTACGCTCATTAGGTGAAGCACATAGAGCAACAGGAGAGCATATTAATTTGCGGTGGGAGAAACACAACCAAGCGGATTTGACTAGGGGCACACACTTTAGTAGTATAGCAAAGAGAGGAGAGTTAGAGAAATGGCAGACAAAAATAGGCTGTGCCTGATATAGGGGGTTGTGGTGGTTGAGAGTTGGTTTGTTGAGGCGGAGTTGGAGCAGGTGGAGTTGCAGGTCACGGGATCTAAGTGAGGCTGATCCCTCTTGGCGTCTTGTCCGTTTGGGGACTAGCGGCGAGTTTTGGCAGTTCCAGCGGACTTCTCCGTAGCGTGATGATTGCTTGTCAAATTGCCCCATCCCGTCGCCACCCACAAGAGACAAGCAGACTCGAGGATATCTAATCAGCCTACGACACCCATTATATTATTATTATTATTATTATTATTATTATTATTCTTATTCTTCTTCTTCTTCTTTCGCAGCATACGGAGATGTCCTGCTCCACGAATTAATCCATTTCTTGGCCTCTTCCGCCAATTAATCAGGCCTCAGTTATCAGGAGTATTGGAAAAGAGCATTTTACCTCCATGTCGATCTCTCAAATCTCCACCAAAGATAACAGAAAATTCTACAAAGGTCGTGTCCCATGGATGGTATCCAGTTTCGGCGCTGAGTCAGTCAAGCTCGAATTTGGGACATGATTTCCTGTGGCGCAGCAGCATGAAAGCAACCCTTCCAAAAATAACAATAACCTTACGTTAATTCTGTCATGCGTAAGGCTGACACTTTTTTGGATCATACGCTGTATTGTTTTGGACGGAGAACCAGTTATCGAGCACATACGAAGTATACTGACATGAAAGAAAACTCCCCGAGGTCCAGTGGCTAGCAATTGATTCCTTTTCTCAAGATTTTCGTCCCATCAACACCGTGTGCACGGCTACCTGCGTTCCACGGCTCTTTCAACCACTAACACCACAAATCCCGGCATTCCGTGCAATTAGCAAGCCACTAACTATAGAGAACTATATCATAGCCTTCATCTCCACAGATGCTCCCTTGGGTAGGACCCATAATTTTATTTGTTAAAGATGTCGCAACAAAGAAAATAATAATCCTTCACTAGAACTCCCATTGATTACAACCACACAAAATAAATCAACAAACTAAACAACATCCAGACTTCATACGCAATACCACTGGAAAACAGTCACATAATTGCAACGTATGTGATTTGGCCTGCAATTCATGGATCCGGTTTTGCGCATAAGCTTGACGACGTCAGCTTCACACCTGCGTCTGATAATCCATGGATGAGGGGAGGAAAACGATGTGCAATCTTTCCCAGTCTACAGGGTTCTAGGAATGTTGTTGGATCAATCCATGTAAAAAAAAAAAAAAAAAAAAAATTATTTACGTCTATTAACTGCTTCGCGGCTTGAACAATTCGAGCATTTCTCTCCATCAGCAAAATTTCCATTTTATTCGTCGAGACTCAATAACAACGCACCATTCTACAGAATTAGCTGGTGATCAACCCTTCTTTTCATTTCCTCCCTCATCAAAAGATACTTTGGCTCAACCAGTATGGGTTGCTGCATGCACCGCATTATTATCACTATTTTACAATAACCTTAGAAGTTGAAGGGTCCATACACTACATTCATGATCTGATAGTATGATGAAAATCTTCATGCTCAGAATACCATTCTGATAACTACGCTCTGATACATATTTCGACAATACGATTGAATCAACATATTTTTATCTGCTGGCCGATCACAACAGGAATCAAAAATCAAATGAATCAAGATATCCAACCGCTCATTGGAACTCGACACCATACAACAGAACAGATTCATCAGCTGAGGCCCTGGGATCATGAAAACCAGCATATATCTGAATCAGAACACATAGTTAGATAAAATCACGCACGTCTGCTCTTCCACCTTCAAACTTCCCCAATCCTGAATTCGAAATTCCAGAGAAACATTCAACCCATCTTGTTTTACTCGGTGTCTCCCTCTCACACCAGAGTACCATTCCATCACTCCATTCATCCATCCTCCCATCAAAAACCATGAAATCCATCCACCTCCTTCTCCAATCTTTGCATCA